AAATATACAACATCCCCGTCATCAGTGTATCTTAAAATATACAACATCCCCGTCATCAGTGTACATTGTAATATACAACATCCCCCTCATCAGCGCATATAGTTATATACAACATCCCCGTCATCAGTGTATCCTTAAATATACAACATCTCCGTCATCAGTGTACATTTTAATATACAACATCCCCGTCATCAGCGCATATAGTTATGTACAACATCCCCGTCATCAGTGTATCTTGTGATATACAACATCCCCGTCATCAGTGTATATTGTTATATACAACATCCCCGTCATCAGTGCATATAGATATCTACAACATCCCCGTCATCAGTGTATCTTGTGATATACAACATCCCCGTCATCAGTGCATATAGTTATATACAACATCCCCGTCATCAGTGCATATAGTTATATACAACATCCCCGTCATCAGTGCATATAGTTATATACAACATCCCCGTCATCAGTGCATATAGTTATATACAACATCCCCGTCATACGTGTCTATTGTAATATACACCATCCCCGACATCAGTGCACATTCTAATAGACAACATCCCCGTCATCAGTGCATATAGTTATATTCAACATCCCCGTCATACGTGTATATTGTAATATACACCACCCCCGACATCAGTACACATTCTAATAGACAGCATCTCCGTCATCAGTGCATATAATTATATACAACATCCCCGTCATACGTGTCTATTTTAATATACACCACCACCGACATCAGTGCACATTTTAATAAACAACATCTCTGTCATCAGTGTAACATACGACTGTAAGACAAGTAGCCAATTTGGATTTTGTTAATAAATGGTATCTGTCCGTATGTTTGTCTTGACCTTTCTTCTGTGAAATATTAACATTAACATTTTACATTTCATTCTTTTTCAATCAGCAGGTAGTTGCATGATGTACAAAAAAGTAGTAATTTTATTGTCAAATCAAATTATACAAATTTCAGATAGTTTTCTTTTTCGCATTTGATAATATAATCATGTATAATTTATCATGTACAGACAGTGAAAATTTAACAAGGGTTTTTTTCTTTTTCTGTTTACCCCCCACTCAGCAGTATTCCAGCTAAGTTCCCACTGTCCCTAAATACATGTAATTGAATTAGGACCAGCCAATCCTGTGACTGATGTCATGAGCAACACCGTCGCCTGTGGGGAACGATGACACGCAATCAATTTAGTCACCGAGCATGACCAGTTGACCCCCTGTGATTTGGAAGTTGGACCTAATCCTGTGAAAAGACATTGCGAATCAAATTGGTGTAATGAAAACGTTGTCTTAAAGCGACTGCAGTTGAAATCCCAACAGTATCGGATGTACTCTAATTGTATTATTGTATTGTATTGTATTATGTATCGTGAATCGCCCTGAGAAATGTGAATTCTCAAGTCTAAACAGTGCAGTTATATGCCGCAAACGATAACAGTATATCGCATATACATGTATGACTACTACTGAAATTGCAACCACGTGATCGGGAAAACGATAACGGGATCTCGCTCTGTGATATATCCAGTTACGTTCATGTGTGAGTCACGAGTGAAAAACAACAACATAAACTCATTTTAAATATTCAGCACTGTTTTTACGTATCTGTCATTTTCTGTATGGATTGAGCGACGTGTTATCGTCTGTAAAATCGACATATTGTGTTCATTCGTGTTTATCGGGACCACAGATGAATGTGTCACCACGTGATCAGGAAAATAGAATCTTTCATGTGTATATAGATCCTGGTATCAATTTCCATGTGATATTTCTGCCATGCCCCGCTATAGCGCGACAGGAGGACACCACCAGTGTTTGAAACACACAAGGACATTGAAGTCCCGGCTACATCACATATTGAAATAAGAACGATAGTCCATACTCATGCTGGTGTTATAGTGCTAGCCTACTGAGACCCCATGCTGCTGAGAAACATGGTTACCCTACTCAGACACAGTATACTGACACCGAGACGACCAGTCCTTGTCTAAGCCCCTTAATACCGAGGGCAAGCCAGGGTAACAACAAGTACCATATTTTAACATCTATGGATATGGCGCGGCCAGAGGATCGAGATTCCGACCTTCCGCTATCTTCACAAAGTTTGAACCAATTCAATATCAATGACTATCATTCTAAGACTGGCATTGCGAACTCTAATTAGTTGTGCTGGGCTGTTATTATTTTATGAGTGAGTGAGTATGGTTTTACGCCGCTTTTAGCAATACTCCAGCAATATCACGGAGGGGGACACCAGAAATGGGCTTCACATATTGTGCCCATGTCGGGAATCGAACCCGGGTCTTCGGCGAGACGAGCGAACGCTTTAACCACTAGGCTACCCGACCGCCACCTATTATTTTATGCATTAGGTATTCAAGTATATTCGTATATATGAAGTGCTTGATAACATTTTTGCAAAGCGATAGTATTCTGGTCAGCGAGTGCACTCGTCACGTCCAATAATAAGTTAAATTTGGAAATTTACAGTGGGTGTAGTTCATTTTTTGTGGACGAATATTTCTAAAAGCGGCTTAAACCTCACACACTCACCAATGTACTGATGATATTCATATTCGTAATGTTTAATACGGAAATTGTTTGGACGTATTTTTGCATAAGGCGGCCTGGGATCGAACCACCTTCATTCCGCTTTTCTACAGTGCCACACGGACTTAGTGTTTCTGTTTATGTCGTAAAATGATTATACACAAACAATTGCGCTATAAGGAATATTATTCATTAATGCATAACCACATTGACTGTATAACTGTGCATAAGGAAGTTATAAATATATCAACTATAGCCTGTGATATAAGCCTTGGGGATCAATATAACAGTGAGTGGAAACATTGGGCCATGTGAAGAAACACACACACAGCATTACTCTGAAACTGCTAATAATTACATTTAGTACTAACTACTAAATGACTTTATCGCGCCAGGACATGGTACGCCTGGGAGGGCGTCCACCTCAGTGATAAAGGACTGTGTGTGTTTACGGACAATTTATTGCATGCCCTGGCGCTTGTTTTGCGCCAGTAAATGGATGTTATCTCCACAGGTTAGTGTTTCCTTTCAGTACATAGGCAAGCTGGGCAACAATGCTATCTCCGCGTATCGCGTGGCCGTGGGTGTGGGGTAGCACTCTGGTGCTTTACACTGCTAGTAACAAATTAACTTGCTTCCAAATTAATACTCGTGCTTAAGGCTATCTGCTTTTCAGCGGGAACCTTTCGTGGTTACGTGCTTCTCAGTGGGAACCTTGTCTTTCCCGACTTTTCAGCCGGGGAATCGTAAAATAACACACGTTGGGGCAAACAATTGCCACGTATATGGGCCCGGCGGCGGTAGTCTGACTTAGGCCAGCAGCGGTAGCTGCTTTTGGCAGCGTGGTAGTTGTCAGGCAATGGTAGCTAATCATGAAAGCAAAGAGTTGATTATAGCAAGTATCCATACTACACGAAGCAAATATATAATTTTCACGCAAACACGGCAAATGTGAGAGAAAGAGACTGGTCCTTGTTTAAAGGAATGTCAATTACTCATGTGGGGTTGCTATTTTAAACAGACTGCATGGTTTAGGGGATAGTACAATAGTGAAAATTCAGTATCAAAGGAAATCTAGCTCTTGATTAGTTCCAGTGCCCGTTCTTCAATGCATAAAGTTCTAATGGTATGTTACGTGGTTAATGGTTATAGATATATTGGCAATACCCGTTCGTGAAGGTATATTGTTCTGAATAAGGGGACACGATGCTCTGAAAAATGACAAAGGTCGAAATATGACGACTAGAAAGAGACTGGAAATTAGCCGCGAGGGTGGTCCCTCTTTGGAGCACATTGGAATTACCTTATGTAAATGTTAATGTTTGTTATAATACAATGCATGGTATTGGCAATAGCGAGAATTCAATATCAATTGAGTTTATATGAGGTTCTAAAAATATTTTTCGTGGTGAATGAGTGTCTTGTGTAGAACAGTTATTTCACAGGCAGAAAATCCTGTTCGCTGTGTCATATAGCGAGAATGTCCAACTGACAGACACTGTCGGACACCCAGCCATCGAACTGTACACAAGAGGAAAACCCAAGCTACGGATTTAACTGAAGGTTTTTTCCATAAAGTAACCTAGTACGCCTGTTACAACAGATGCTGTTTTTGAATGGATAACTATTATTTCTGTAGTATGTATAAACTCGGCATTTGCAATAGTTATGCTTGGTTTCACTCATATACACTTGGCAGTATAACGGGGTAAATCGTGAAAAGGAATTAACACCGTAACGCCCAAATACACCAGCACAATAGGCCCTTTTGATAGTTACATCACTTCAGCATCATGGCCCTTGATAAGGTGTGGCGGGTAGGCTTATTTTGACTTCTTGAATAATAACGATAACAGTAACAAAGTTTATTTTATAGTACTATATACAGTAAGTACTACAGAAATTCAATTCATAATTCCTACATATTGACATATTACTGACATTACATTATTTTATGATACTGTACAGTGACGTAGTACCGATATGGCGAATATTTTACAATGACGTAGTTCTAATGTAACTTTACATAATAATATGATATACACTTAACAATGACGTAATACTTATATGACGCATGTTTTACAATGTTGTCTTTTGGTTGAACTCAGCTATTTTTCATCTACATGACGGCTGCGTGTAAATATTTGGGCCTTGGACCAGACAATCCAGTGATTGATTTTGTGAGCAACGATCAAGTTTACAGGATATACAGCTTTTCCATTGGACGAGAGGTCAGTCACATGACCGTAAAATTGACGTTGATGATAAGTGTTTGAACGACATAATTTATATCTAATTTACACACACTTATAAATGTGACAAAAACAATGGATACTTAAGGTCCAAATAACAACCTGTTGGTTTGAGAAAATAATTATGTGAAGAAGGGAAAACCTTTAAAATCGCAAATCTGTTATGAAAACACGGAGAGACAGTCAACATAAAAATCGTTTATTGGGAGCGGCACAGAGATATGGTTACCGAAACTAACCCCATATCCCTTTGACTTTAGAGGCCAACAGCAAATACCGTCATGGTGTTTGGATACGTGTATATTTACACAGTGTACTTAAGTGGATATGACATTATAGATATTGTCTCCCTCAACAGGAGTTAGGTACAAAGTGTTGTATTCATGTCCAGATGTTTCATCCGTTTGTCCATCAACGTCATTAGGAGAATCGTACACATTTCTACCACTGTGTGTTTCTGGCCTTTTTGATTGTTTAATCTGCACCAGAACGACCACCAGCACGATGTTGATTGTGACAGCCACGCTTCCTGCAACGGCAGCGCCTACCGTGGCCCCAATACTAATGCTTGCCCTGATTCTTACATCTGCCATCACTTCTTCCATCTGCCGTTCTGAAAGTGTAAAGTGTGTTAGCAAACAATTGCAATATCGCCTTACCTAGGACAATATATTTCATTCAATACCGAACGCTTCATATATGCAAACTAGAATTTACACCATAATGCTGAACTTGCTGTTACATACAGACAAGGATGTCCAAGCAATAGACAGTAACAGTAGCATATGTAAGTATGTGTTGACTGAATTATGCAATCCTTTAGTTGCTGTTAGTTGTATTAGCTGTAAATGTTTCAGGTACTTTACAGTATTATTCAAGCTATGCCACGGCATCCTGTAAATGATGACTTCATAGTGACGAGCAATCAGATCAGTCACCGAGTGAGTCCACAATCAAATGAAATCTCCTCTTACGACAAACTCACTTTTGCTGGAGACTGATGGAATCTATTTGATCTCTTTCCTGTCATCAGTAATAATAACGACAACCAGGACGACAGGAGGTAAATATATACAAAACATTTTCATACTTACTGTCAACAATTTCTCTTAAACCTGTGCACGTCAAAGGAATGTGTTTATAATGACATAGAAAAGCCAGCTCCACAGATCCGAAACGTCTTTCCGTAACATTCAAGTTGACGACCAATGTCTTGTCCGTTCTATTTCCATCAGTGCCTAACAATGTCTCTGTTACATCCCCGATTTGTAGTGTGAAGCTTGAACCCCGAGAACAGTAATAGTCATCTATGTTCACCAAGAGAACCAGTTGATCATTCAGCGCAAGCATGTCAGCATCAGCATCATAGGTTATGTTGCATGATGGAGTTTCTGAACGGGGAATAAAGAATACACGTGAAAGTGATAGTTTCACTAGACAAGACAATTTCATTGAGTAAGATGTTATCTTTATCATTATATATGTGCCATTGTCATGGTCATTAGATTTAATAAATGTCCCTTGAATAATACGTTCCACTATCATTAAGCCAGCATGCCAGTTAAAACCTGACATATTGTTCAAAGCGTTATGTAACCAACCTCATTCACTCACTATACCTGTAGATAACTTTAGCTATTCATTCATATGGACCCGTTAAAATCCGGGTAAGAACAGATTTTCAGCAATCCACGCTTGCCGTAATTGGAGACTGTGCTTGTCGTAAGAGTCGACTAACGGGAATGGGTGGTCAGGCCCACTGATCTGATTGATGCATGTCATCGTATCCCAATTGCGTAGATCGATGCTCATGATGTCAATCACTGGCTTGGCTGGTCCAGAATCGATTATTTACAGACCGCCATCATATAGCTGGAATATTCCCGAGTGCGACGTTAAACAACAAACAAACAAAACATTGATCATATCTTATTGGTAGATTCAATCGTATATGGATGTTATTGGTAGATTCTATCATTCAATTACTGTGTGGAGTAGAGATGTTGAGATAAAGGTTGAAACAAGATGCGCCATCATAGAGCCATTAATCATGTATATGTAAGGTACTGCAACATCATTAAGACATGCAAGCATAATCCTGAATCTGAGACTACCAACGTCATCAAAGATGTTGTCTCTGGTCTATCATGCAACGATTATTTCAGTTATGCAACAGCCGGTCAGCTTAATGGCATGTAACGCCCAATAGTACGTACGGATATGAATATGTCATCATAATCTCACTTTTTGTAAGTAATCTTATATTTTCTGTGAAATCAAATGCTACTCACTGTAACCCTCCATTTTACATTGTGATCCATTACGGCTCTTGCAAGTCCATGTTCCGATATCTTTCTCACCTACTTCCAGTATCTTAAGCTCACTGTGGCTAGAATCACGCGAAACTGTATATCCTTCGAGGCCGTCACAGCCATACCGATTGCAATTGCTAACTAATTCATTATCATGCCTTGTCCATGAAACTAAGGACTTGTTAGACAGTATATCAAAGCAAATTAAACGTGTTGAAGAACCAAGTTCCGCAAATGTTGGGCAATCCACCTTGAGTGAGCTGACACCTGTGTTGATGGAAACAAGTCGTCAATAACATAAGGATCTCTGATAATGTACTATACAGTAAACTACGTTTATAACGCACACGCTTTTAACGAATCGACGGATATAACGAACTTAAGTTTAGGTCCCGGCCATTTGCTGTTTATATGCTGTATACATTGTATATGCTTATAACGAACTATTGTTAAAACGTACTAATATTAGTGTTTCCTTTGAGTTCGTTATAACCGTAGTTTACTGTATTTAAGAAATAAAGGACGAGTGGGCGTTGTTTGTAGTACAATAAAACACTGCAGGGAGAATAAACCATGAGTGGCGTTCATCCTCCCAGCTGTGGTTTATTGTACAACAACCACGAGTCGTTTATTTCTTATATGAGATATCAACATTATGTACAGTCTCTTTAAGGATGATGATGAAATGTACAAACTTTAAAACTTATTACCCGTATTTTAATAATGATGACTCCCTCAATAGAGTCCATTTTACGCACGGGTGGGTATTTCCCACATATTTTCACAATCCTTACGTCGATTGCCTGTACCTTTTCTCCCAATGACGATTGTCATATCTCTCCCGCTTTTGGATGCGATCGTTCGGCCTTCGCGTTTCTCTGCGCTGCCCAGATACACCTATTGTGATATCTCACTAGACACTCCCCTCTCAAAAATAACGGCTTTTAGTAAAACCTTCTTTTAATAAGTAATGTCACACAGCAAGAGTTTGAAAATGACACGCACTGATTATACAACAACGTCATTCAAGATAAACTTGATCATGAATTATCTATTTTGTTCGATGGCACATGCGAACATATGTTGCTATTAAAACTAGGGGGCACGGGCGGCCCAGTCGTCCAAGGCGCCTCATTTCGTTGTGCAGAGTTCCGTCCCTTGGGCACGCCAGAAACCTATGATTCGCCCCGATTATGTTTCTAGGATTCTCAGCACTATACCCGTGCTCGTGGGTTTCACGTTTAACTCCTTCATCACATGGGGCTTTCCTCCTACATTAAGTTGACACGCCGTGATATGACTGGAATACTGTTAAAAGTGGTGTTAAACACAACTCACTCACTCACTATTAAAACTAAAACAAGAAACTCAAACTAACCTTGAAGAAGACAAACTAAACTGAGCAGCAGTTTCATTATCTTCTCTTGTTGATAATTCCACTGACTTGACATCCGTCGCAGCCTGTAGATCACAAAACATTACTCAAAGACAAACGCTATCTTGGCGTTGACGTTGAATGGAACGCCATACCTCACGTTAACATTGTGATTTTTTAACAGGTGTGACAGGAAATAACATTGTTGTTATTCACCGTAGTACTATAATACATAGTAATTGTTTCTATTCTGTTATTGTTCTAACCAAGCATTGTTTGCATTGTAGCGATATACTCTTCTTTGGTTAAATTGTTTCTTGAAAATGTTGTGCAGAATTGCCTCCCTTTGGCACGCTAGTCACCTATGATTGCGGGTTCGAAACCCAGTTCACCCCGATTATGTTTCCAGGTTTGTCAGCACCATACCCGTGCTCGTGGGTTTCACCGAAGTGGTAAAGCATCACGTCGGCCTTTCTTCCCATGAAACGCTGTAATATGACTTAAATACTGTGCGGCGTAAAACTCAATTCACTCACTCGCTTGATTATGTACAATACATTTATGCAAAACATTGCTAAGTACATATTATTAAATGTAGACTCAAATGTCAACTACTTACCTCGCTGAGCATCCTAACAGTGCGAAGTGTGTACTACTAATACACCGTTTATAAAACCCACAACATATACCTACATTTTATCCTGGTCTGTATCAAGGCACATCATAGGTCTTTTCAGTGCATTTGAACGCATATCTGTGTGTAAATATACACTCCATCACTTCTTCCCTATCCGCCTGTTACCCCCATACTGTTAGCCACGCAAAGTCCTGTGCATTGACACGTTGGATTTCCCAAAAAGTCAAACACCTTTTCCTCATGGCATTTATTATCATTTAGCAAGAGTCCCATGCAAGGAGGACGTGGCCCATGGACCTCTAAACTCTGTGTTTCTCAGGATATCTGTCATGGGCCGAACAAGCCGAACACAGAATGCCACTCGACATCGAAATGGTCAACTCTTGGTTTAATGTGCACGGAGACACGTGAGTGGAGCGGTGGTAGATGTGCCAAACCCATCCCAATGCTTCAGCGGTTGCTGAAAGCTGCTTGCAAAAAATGAGAATGAAATGTGCAAACTGCGACGGCGATATTGCTGATTCATCAAAATCTTGCTCTATATATGACTATGAATCCAAAATATATCATAAAAAGAAGCCAAAGCTACAGTCTTTTCTTCAGCTTCTGTTATTAACGTAGCCACAGTTTCAAAACATTGTCAGGCAACATTGTCTTGGGTGTACCTGATCATCTTAGATGATAACTCTCAAATCAGCCAAAACGTCTCAAATATTGTATCTTCAGCTTCCCAGAAGTCACTCAACCATAACATCAATTACACCAGTTCGAGGCGCTCAACCATTTGGAGGATCCTGCTTCTTTTATACCGAGTGCGTCCGTGAATTGTGTTTAACGCCGCTTTGGACAGTATTCTTTAACACTGACGGTCAATAGGTGTGAATCTTCCAACCAGCTTGGCCGACATAAGCGTCAATCACACGATGCAGTGGAATTGTAGAGTACTGCGTGATAAAGTCATTTGTGCAAATTGTAATATATAACTTTTTCATCATCAATACATAACGTAACAAACACCATCCCCGTCATCAGTGTATCTTGTAATATACAGCATCCCCGTCATCAGTGCATATAGTACTATACAACATCCCCGTCATCGGTGTAGATTGTAATGTGTAACATCCCCGTCATAAGTGCATATAGTTATATACACCATCCCTGTCATCAGTGTATTTTGTAATATACCACATTCCCGTCATCTGTGTAGATTGTAATATACAACATTTCCGTCATCAGTGTAGATTAATATAAAGCATCCCCGTCACCAGTGTAGATTGTAATGTGTAACATCCCCGTTATAAGTGCATATAGTTATATGCACTACCCCTGTCATCAGTGTATCTTGTAATATACAACATCCCCGTCATCTGTGTATCTTGTAATATACAACATCCCCGTCATCAGTGTATCTTGTAATATACAACATCCCCGTCATCAGTGTATCTTGTAATATACAACATCCCCGTCATCAGTGTATCTTGTAATATACAACATCCCCGTCATCTGTGTATCTTGTAATATACAACATCCCCGTCATCAGTGTATCTTGTAATATACAACATCCCCGTCATCAGTGTATCTTGTAATATACAACATCCCCGTCATCAGTGTATCTTGTCAAATACAACATCCCCGTCATCAGCGCATATAGTTATATACAACATCCCCGTCATCAGTGCATATAGATGTCTACAACATCCCCGTCATCTGTTTATCTTGTGATATACAACATCCAGTGCAAATAGTTATATACAACATCCCAGTCATTGTAATGTGTAACATCCCCGTTATAAGTGCATATAGTTATATGCACTACCCCTGTCATCAGTGTATCTTGTAATATACAACATCCCCGTCATCAGTGTATCTTGTAATATACAACATCCCCGTCATCAGTGTATCTTGTAATATACAACATCCCCGTCATCTGTGTATCTTGTAATATACAACATCCCCGTCATCTGTGTATCTTGTAATATACAACATCCCCGTCATCTGTGTATCTTGTAATATACAACATCCCCGTCATCAGTGTATCTTGTAATATACAACATCCCCGTCATCAGTGTATCTTGTAATATACAACATCCCCGTCATCTGTGTATCTTGTAATATACAACATCCCCGTCATCTGTGTATCTTGTAATATACAACATCCCCGTCATCAGTGTATCTTGTAATATACAACATCCCCGTCATCAGTGTATCTTGTAATATACAACATCCCCGTCATCAGTGTATCTTGTCAAATACAACATCCCCGTCATCAGCGCATATAGTTATATACAACATCCCCGTCATCAGTGCATATAGATGTCTACAACATCCCCGTCATCTGTTTATCTTGTGATATACAACATCCCCGTCATCAGTGTATCTTGTAATATACAACATCCCCGTAATCAGTGTATCTTGTTATATACAACATCCCCGTCACCAGTGCAAAAAGTTATATACAACATCCCAGTCATTGTAATGTGTAACATCCCCGTTATAAGTGCATATAGTTATATGCACTACCCCTGTCATCAGTGTATCTTGTAATATACAACATCCCCGTCATCAGTGTATCTTGTAATATACAACATCCCCGTCATCAGTGTATCTTGTAATATACAACATCCCCGTCATCAGTGTATCTTGTAATATACAACATCCCCGTCATCTGTGTATCTTGTAATATACAACATCCCCGTCATCTGTGTATCTTGTAATATACAACATCCCCGTCATCAGTGTATCTTGTAATATACAACATCCCCGTCATCAGTGTATCTTGTAATATACAACATCCCCGTCATCAGTGTATCTTGTCAAATACAACATCCCCGTCATCAGCGCATATAGTTATATACAACATCCCCGTCATCAGTGCATATAGATGTCTACAACATCCCCGTCATCTGTTTATCTTGTGATATACAACATCCCCGTCATCAGTGTATCTTGTAATATACAACATCCCCGTAATCAGTGTATCTTGTTATATACAACATCCCCGTCACCAGTGCAAATAGTTATATACAAACATCCCAGTCATCTGTGCATATAGTTATATACAACATCCCCGTCATCAGTGTAGATTGTAATATACAACATCCCGTCATCAGTGTATCTTGTAATACACAACATCCCCGTCATCAGTGTAGATTGTAATATACAGCATCCCCGTCATCAGTGTATCTTGTAATATACAACATCCCCGTCATCAGTGTATCTTGTAATATACAACATCCCCGTCATCAGTGTATCTTGTTATATACAACATCCCCGTCATCAGTGTAGATAGTAATATACAACATCCCCTTCATCTGTGTATCTTGTAATATACAACATCTCCGTCATCTGTGTATCTTGTAATATACAACATCTCCGTCATCAGTGTAGATTTTAATACACAACATCCCGTCATCAGTGTATCTTGTAATACACAACATCCCCGTCATCAGTGTAGATTGTAAAATACAACATCCCCGTCATCTGTGTATCTTCTAATATACAACATCTCCGTCATCAGTGTATCTTGTAATACACAACATCCCCGTCATCAGTGTATCTTGTAATATACAACATCCCCGTCATCAGTGTATCTTGTAATATACAACATCTCCGTCATCAGTGTATCTTGTAATATACAACATCCCCGTCATCAGTGTATCTTGTTATATACAACATCCCCGTCATCAGTGCATATAGTTATATACAACATCCCCGTCATCAGTGTAGATTGTAATATACAACATCCCGTCATCAGTGTATCTTGTAATACACAACATCCCCGTCATCAGTGTAGATTGTAATATACAACATCCCCGTCATCAGTGTATCTTGTAATATACAACATCCCCGTCATCAGTGTATCTTGTAATATACAACATCCCCGTCATCAGTGTATCTAGTAATATACAACATCCCCGTCATCTGTGTATCTTGTAATATACAACATCTCCGTCATCAGTGTAGATAGTAATATACAACATCCCCGTCATCAGTGTATCTTGTAATATACAACATCCCCGTCATCAGTGTATCTAGTAATATACAACATCCCCTTCATCTGTGTATCTTGTAATATACAACATCCCCGTCATCAGTGTATCTATTAATATACAACATCCCCTTCATCTGTGTATCTTGTAATATACAACATCTCCGTCATCAGTGTAGATAGTAATATACAACATCCCCGTCATCAGTGTATCTTGTAATACACAACATCCCCGTCATCAGTGTAGATTGTAATATACAACATCCCCGTCATCAGTGTATCTTGTAATATGCAACATCTCCGTCATTAGTGTATCATGTAATATGCAACATCTCCGTCATCAGTGTAGATAGTAATATACAACATCCCCTTCATCTGTGTATCTTGTAATATACAACATCTCCGTCATCAGTGTAGATAGTAATATACAACATCCCCTGTCATCAGTGTAGATAGTAATATACAACATCCCCGTCATCAGTGTATCTTGTCATATACAACACCCCCGTCATCAGTGTACATTGTAATATACAACATCCCCGTCATCAGTGCATATAGTTATATACAACATCCCCTTCATCAGTGCATATAGTTAAATACAACATCCCCGTCATCAGTGCATATAGTTATAAACAACATCCCCGTCATACGTGTCTATTGTAATATACACCATCCCCGTCATCAGTGCACATTCTAATAGACAACATCTCTGTCATCAGTGTAACATACGACTGTAAGACTGTATCTGTCCGTATGTCTGTCTTGACGTTTCTTTTGTGAAATATTAACATTAACATTTTAAATTTTCATTCTTTTTCAATCAGCAGGTAGTTGCATGATGTACAAAAAAAGTAGTAATTTTATTGTCAAATCAAATTATACAAATTTCAGATAGTTTTCTTATTCGCATTTGATAATATAATCATGTATAATTTATCATGTACAGACAGTGTAGTGTGGGTATATTTATGAATATTTAACAAGTTGTTTTCTTCTTTTTCTGTTTACCGCCCACTCAGCAGTATTCCAGCTAAATTCCCACCCTGCCTAAAAAATTGAATTAGGACCAGACAATCCTGTGACTGATGTCATGAGCATCACCGCCGCCTGTGGGGAACGATGACATGCAATCAATTTAGTCACCGAGCATGACCAGTTGTCCCCTGTGATTTGGAAGTTGGACCTAATCCTGTGCAACGACGTTGCGAATCAAATTGGTTTAATGAAAACGTTGTCTAAAAGCGACTGCAGTTGAAATCCCAACAATATCAGATGTACTCTAATTGTATTATTGTATTGTATTGTATTATGAATCGTGAATCGCCACTGAGACATGTGAACACTCAAATCTAAACAGAGCAGTCATATGCCGCAAACGATAACATTATATCGCATATACATGTATGACTACTACTGAAATTGCAACCACGTGATCGGAAAAATGATAACGGGATCTCGCTCTGTGATATATCCAGTTACGTTCATGTGTGAGTCACGAGTGAAAAAAACCAACATTAACCCAATTTTAAATATTCAACACTCTATTTACGTATCTGTCATTTTCTGTATTGATTTGAGCGACGTGTTATCGTCTGTAAAATCGACATTTTATGTTCATTCGTGTTTATCGGGACCACAGATGAATGTGTCACCACGTTTTAAGGAAAATAGATCCTTTAATGTGTATATAGATCCTGGTATCAATTTTACTGTGATATTTCTGCCATGCCCCGCTATAGCGCGACAGGAGAGGACACCACCAGCGTTCGAAACACACAAGGACATTGAAGTCCCGGCTACATCACATATTGAAATAAGGACAATAGTCCATACTCATTCTGGTGTTATAGTGCTAGTCCACTGAGACAGCATGCTGCAGTGAAACATGGCTACCCTACTCAGACACAGTATACTGACTCCGAGACGACCAGTCCTTGTTTGAGCTCCTTCATGCCGAGGGCAAGGCGGGGTAACAACAAGTACCATATTTTAACATCTATGGATATGGCGCGGCCAGGGGATCCAGACCCCGACCTTCCGCTATCTTCACAAAGTTTGAACCATTTCAATATCAATGACTTTCATTCTAAGACTGGCATTGCGAACTCTAATTAGTTATGCTGTGCTGTTATTATTTTATGAGTGAGTGAGTGAGTGAGTATGGTTTTACGCCGCTTTTAGCAATACTCCAGCAATATCACGGCGAGGGACACCAGAAATGGGCTTCACATAGCTATAGTGTGCCCATGTCGGGAATCGAACCCGGGTCTTCGGCGTGACGAGCGAACGCTTTAACCACTAGCTACCCGACCGCCCCTATTATTTTATGCATTATGTATTCAAGTATATTCGCATATATGAAGTGCCTGATAACATTTTTGCAAAGCGATAGTATAAGCCTTGGTGATCAATATAACAGTGAGTGGAAATCTTGGGTCATGTGAAGAAACACACACACAGCATTACTCTGAAACTGCTGATAATAACCCACGTGTATCTGATCAAAGGGACACGTGGCTCTGGAAAATGGCATACCAGCATGTTTTACTGAAGTCCTCAAAACATTGCTTTGTTTATCATGAAAGCAAAGTCTTAATTATAGCAAGTATCCATACTACACAAAGCAAATATATCATTTTCACGCAAACACGGCAAATGAAAGAGAAAGAGGCTGGACATGGGCCGCAAGACTTTGGAGACTGGTCCTTGTTTAAGGGAATCTCAATTACTCATGTGGGGTTGCTATTTAAAACATACTACATGATTTAGGCGATAGTACAATAGTGGAAATTCAGTATCAAAGGAAATCTAGCTCTTCATTATTTTTAGTGCTCGTTCTTCAATGCAGTTCTAATTGTATGTTACGTGATTAATGGTTATAGATATATTGGCAATGCCCGTTCATGAAAGTATATTGCTCTGATTAAAGGGACACGATGCTCTGAAAAATGGCAAAGGTCGACATATGACGACTAGAAAGAGATTGGAAATGGGCCGCGAGGATAGTCCCTCTTTCAGGCAAAATGGAATTACCTTATGTAGATGTGAATGCAAGTTATAATATAATGCGTTGTATTGACAATAGTGATAATTCAAGGTTCCAATTATATGTTACGTGGCGAATGAGTGTCTTGGGTATAAGACAATCCTGTTCGCTGTGTCATATAGCGAGAATGTCCAACTGACAGACACTGTCGGACACCCAGCTATCGAACTGTACACAAGAGGAAAACCCCAGCTACAGATTTAACTAAAGTCTTTTTTTGATAAAGTAACTGATATTTGATAAACGCCTCTTACCACAGATGTTTTTGAATGGACAGCTAGTATTTCTGTATTATGTATCAACTCGCCATTTGCAATAAATATGCCTGGGTTCACTCATATAGACTTTGCGGGGGCAATGGTGGCCCAGTCGTCTAAGGCGCCGAGATTCGCTGTGCAGAGTTGCGTCCCTTTGACACGCAAGAAACCTATGATTGTGGGTTCGAATCCCGGTTCGCCCCGATTATGTTTCTAGGTTTGTCAGCACCATACCCGTGCTCGTGGGTTTCACCGAAGTGGTAAACGTCTGAGGCCTGCATCACGTTGGGCTTTCCTCCCACATTAAGCTGACACGCCGCGATATAACTGGAATACTGTTAAAAGTGGCGTAAAACCAAACTCACTCACTCATTTATATGCACTTTGCGGTGTAACGGGGTAATTAACAAATACACCGGCACAATAGGCCCTTTTGATAGTCACATAACTTCAGCACCATGGCCCTTGATAAGGGGTGGTGGGTTGACGTCTTTTGAATTAATGGTTAATGAAAATAACAGTGACAAAGTTTATCTTATAGTACTATATACAGTTAGTGTTACAGAAAGTCAATTCATGATTCCCATATATTTACATGTTACTGATATCACAGTATACTGTACAGTGACGTAGTACTGATATGACGTATAGTTTACAATGACGTAGTTCTAATGTAACTTTACATTACAATGACATCATAATGATATGATATACACTTAACAATGACGTAATACTGATATGACGTATATTTTACAATGTTGCCGGTTGGATGTTGAATGCCGCACTCAGCTATTTTTCATCTACATGACGGCTGCGTGAGCCTGGACCAGACAATCCAGTGATTGATATTGTGAGCAACGATCACGTTTACATGATATACGGCTTTTCCATTGGACGAGCGGTCGGTCACATGACATGATAAGTGTATGAACGACACAAGTTAGATTTAATTTTCACAAACTTATACATGAGTTTGAAACACTTGAAACTAAAGCTACAAAAAAACCGTTGGTTTGGAAGATAATTATGTGCAGCAGGGAAAAGCGTTAAAATCGCAAATCTATGAGGAAAACACGGTGAGACAGTCCGAAGCTCTGTATAATGACAAGTCAATATCAAAATCGTTGATTGGGAGCAGCAAAGAGATATGGTTACCAAAACTAACTCCATTATCACTTTGATGTTTGAGGCAACAGCATAATACCGTCATGGTGTTTGGATACGTATGTATTTACACAGTGTACTTAACTGGATATGACATTATAGATACTGCCTCCCTCAATAGGAGTTCGGTTCAAAGTGGTGTATTCATGTCCAGCTGTTTCATCCGTTTGTCCATCAACGTCATTAGGAGAATCGTACACATTTCTACCACTGTGTGTTTCTGGCTTCTGGGTCCGTTTTGATTGTTTCATCTTCACCAGAACAACCACCAGCACGAAGATGATTGTGACAGCCACGCTTCCTGCAACGACAGCGCCGACGACGACCGCACTGGTTATGCTTCCCCCGCGTCTTGAATCTGCCGTCACTTGTTCTGAAAATGTGAGGTGTGTCTGCAAACAATTGCAATATCGCCTTACCTTGGATAAGAATACTTTGGAAATATATATCAATAGATTCTTTTTGTAAAATCACGTCATGTAACCTTGATATACGAGGAAAGAGGCAATAGAAATATACGCTTAGAATGTGAACACATACAAGACATGTTTGGATTTAAATGGAATACACATTTAGTGTGTTCTACCTAAACACGTTTAGGGTCAAAGCACATGAAATGTAATATCCTCCCCAAGCCTGAACACCATCTAAACACAACATACCCATAATCCAAACATATTTGTAATTTAAACACATTTAAACATGTTTAACATTTGTATAATGTATACACGTTAAACATGTTCAGACCTCAAACATGTTAAAAATAAGAAGCATATCATATGGGCAATGAGCCAAGAATTGTAAAGATAATAAGGATACGAACTTCTTGGATCAAATTACAAAATATAGTTGTAATGTTAAACACTAATCATGAGGGAAAAACACACGAGCAAGGATGCAAAGACACCAAACAAACGATCACAGGACTTGTACGCGCTACATAGAGAGTATAACACAGTCCATTCTCTCACTGTGAGTAACATTACAAACAAAACAATTCCTATCTACTTAACTGTTTTAAAGTGATATAAACTTAATTAACGTGTCTCTTCATTATATAACAACCTACATCCTAAAGTCCAATCAATGCACAAGCATAAATACAGGTAAAGTACCTTGACAAGCAATGTCCCAACTCGTATTGCCACAGACAAAGACCAATTTCTTTGTCTCTGCAAGAGATGTAGCTACATTGACTGTAATCTCAAACATGCCAACAGGTGTAGCAGTACGTTGTACGTTCAACAGTCTTCCTGTCAAGTGTCCAGTCTTCAAATACAGCTCAATGGAGTCAGAACAATGGTAGTCTTGTACACGTACTGTCACTTCCTCTGCAGACCGGTTGCTCAATATGTCACATGACGGAAGTTCTGAAATACAACGAACAACAACTGTAACATTTGTTTTTGTTTTTAAAAACAACATACGAATATATGCTACATGTCGACGTTACACCAACTAATCTATGTATATGTTATAGGCAATGTGTAAAATCACTGGCATCAGGAACAAAAAGTCATTTCACAATCAGACTGACTAAATGTTACTAAAAAAATTCCAAAGGGCTTACAAATCCCACAAGAGATTAGTTATGCTGGGAATATGAGTCACACAAATTAAACAATTATACAATATACATTTTATTTCGCTTTCCCACACTGGGTGATGATATAGATCATAAATATGTGTGGAATTCGTTATGATAATATAATCAATGGAAAGTCATCAGAAACCCATGCTTTTCGTTAAGAGGTGACTAACGGGATTGGGTGGCCAGGCTCGCTGGAATGGTTGATGCATGTCATCGGATCCCCTCCTGGATTGTTGGGTCCCGACTCGATTATTTACAGACCGCCGTCACATAGCTGGAATATTGCTGAGTGCGGGGTTAAACAACAAACAAACAAACTAAATAATAAATGGAAAAGTAATTGTAATATGACATGTTATGTCGTTTTGTATATGGCTCAACTAAAATTTCCATCATTTGGCACATTGACTGTAACATATACATACTAAATACACATGATACATTTGTATCACGTCATACCAATAACTCAGAAAGGTGTTGTCTCAATTATAACCGTGGCAAGCAAGTCGGGCAACGTTGCTACAACGATGTGATGTATACAGTCACCAGGTGATGGTCTGAGCTAAAGTAGCATACTTACTTGCAACTGTCATGAGACAGTGGGACTCATAATCCCAAATGGAGCAAGTCCAGTTTCCTGCATGTGACTGTTTTATCCTTGGTAGTGTGAGGACACTGTAGGAAGAGTTAGGTATGGTCACCATCGCGTCAGGTAGACATCTTGATGTGTTCATGTCACATGTGGTCACAATGCCCCCTGATGGCTGGATGTAGGAGTGTGTGCGTCCTGTGCCAATGCAGCTCAGTTTTGCTGGTGAGTCCAAGAATCCTATCTCTGGACACACAATCTCTGCTGCACCTTGGATGTATAAATAAAGTCATTTAACATTCAGACAGACTGAATGTTACTAAAAAATTCGATAGGGCTTACAAATCCCACAAGATTAATTATACAGGGAATATGAGTCACCCAAATAAAACAATTATACAATATACATTTTATTACGCTTTCCCACACTGGGTGATGATATAGATCATAAATATGTGTGGAATTCGTTATGATAATATAATCAATGGAAAGTCATCAGAAACCCATGCTTTTCGTTAGGAGGTGACTAACGGGATTGGGTGGTCAGGCTCGCTGGAATGGTTGATGCATGTCATCGGATCCCTTCCTGGATTGTTGGGTCCCGACTCGATTATTTACAGACCGCCGTCACATAGCTGGAATATTGCTGAGTGCGGGGTTAAACAACAAACAAACAAACTAAATAATAAATGGAAAAGTAATTGTAATATGACATGTTATGTCGTTTTGTATATGGCTCAACTAAAATTTCCATCATTTGGCACATTGACTGTAACATATACATACTAAATACACATGATACATTTGTATCACGTCATACCAATAACTCAGAAAGGTGTTGTCTCAATTATAACCGTGGCAAGCAAGTCGGGCAACGTTGCTACAACGATGTGATGTATACAGTCACCAGGTGATGGTCTGAGCTAAAGTAGCATACTTACTTGCAACTGTCATGAGACAGTGTGACTCATAATCCCCAATGGAGCAAGCCCAGCGTCCTGCGTGTGACTGGTTTACCCTTGGTAGTGTGAGGACACTGTAGGAAGAGTTAGGTATGGTCACCATCGCGTCAGGTAGACATCTTGATGTGTTCATGTCACATGTGGTCACAGGGCCACCTGATGGCTGGATGTAGGAGTGTGTGCGTCCTGTGCCAATGCAGCTCAGGTTTGCTGGCGAGTCCAAGAATCCTATCTCTGGACACACAAGCTCTGCTGCACCTTGGATGTATAAATAAAGTGTCATTATGTTGACACCGGCGACACTGGAGAATCTCAGCGACCTTACTGATGATGTGTTATCGTATCCCGACGACACGGTACTTGCACACGAAAACCATATTTACAGTGTTCCAGATGGACTATTGCTTACTGCAGTTCCAACTAACCATAAAAAAAACACACATTATTTTGAATACATATTATACTCAGTCGGTAAAAAAACATGTTTTCCTTCACAACGTACGTACGTATGGCAAGCCGTTTTCACATTTATTACGGAATTACAGATATCTTCAATAAATTGTTTTAAAGATATCTTGAATTGAATTGAAGATATCTTGAATGGAATTGAAGATATCTTGAATGGAATTGAAGATATCTTAAATGCCGATAATTGTAGATATCTGCAATAAAATTTAAGATATCTTCAATTGATTTAAAGATATCTTGAAATGAATTGCTGAAATCTTAAATTTGATTATTGATATCAAAATATGATTTAAAGATATCAAAATGTCATGTTTTGTTATGATGTCATTAATCCAATTCCTGATATCTTGAAACTTAATTGAATTTAAGATATCTTGAATTTATTTCTAGTATATTTATGTACTTTAGGATGGTAATTGTTTAATGATATCTTAAATACATTTAGATATATCACATACTAATTTGTTGATATCACCGTAACATTTTAAGATATCAGTAATTGTATTATGGATATCAGAAATGAATTTAAGATATCTTTAATTATTTTTTGATATCTTAAAAACATTATTGATATCTTTAAATAAAATACCGATATCTTTAAAACAATTGAAGATATCTGTAATTCCGTAATAAATGTGAAAACGGCTTGCCATACGTACGAGTATTGTCATAATCAGTCGAAATATAGGTGTTTTTTCTTTTTTTTACGTACCTTGGAAAACATTAGACAAAATTATACCAAGGAGGATGTGTAATCCGAGACTATTCGTTCTTCCAGTGAACTCCATCTGTAAAAATGAAGGGGTTCCTGTTTATGCATATACAATGTAGGTCAAGTTAAGAAAAATAATAGAAATCCATTCAAGACACACCAGCAACAGCGTTGTGTGTGTTGTTTAACGCTGCACAATATCCTAGCTTTAAGAGGCCAACGTGTAAATTATTGAGACCGGACTAGAAAACCCAGTGATTGATATCATATAGACAGTATTGTTGACGTAGTATTTAATGACGTTCAAAAGTTAAGGATGTCACATCGAATACCTATTAAAGTCATGTTAACTCCGTCTTCAATGATCTATTGATTCTATAAGGGACTAAAGGATCATGTATTTTCCTCGCTTACATTGTGTAGTTAACATTACTGATGTGCAAATGTGATAGATAACGGTATTTGTTACCAATACATGTTGTAATTATATATTGTTTCTTTCCACACTTCCTGTAAAATCTAATAGAATTACAATACTGCCACACAATGTCAACTATGATAATACACACAATGACGCAAAATAGGCTAGTTTCTCTGTCAAAGACACCGTTATTTGTTTGGACTATTGCTGTTTATTATCGTAAAACAACATGCGCTCGGTCTCCGGTCGTGGAGAGAACCTCAACCTCATTCTCTTAGCTAATTACTGAATGTCATATTCTTCGGATTATTTTGGGTTTTGTTAACAGTTGGCTTTAATCTAGAACATCATTATCATATCCCATGGGTCTGTGTACAATTAAGCAAATATGTCTACTTGTTTGTAAACTTACCGTTGTTGCAGGTAGTCAATCAGTCCTGCTTCTTCCTTGAACACCACGCCTCACTGAGGTAGATTTACATCAAGCGATACTGTTAATACTTTACCCCTAAATGATAATGCTGGTTATATGTCCTTAATGTAATGGTGTTGTGATTACGTTTGTCAACGTTTCATTGAAACGACAGAAACGTGTTGAGGCAATACCAATGTTTATATCACGATAATCATCGACTCACAAAGCAGACACAGTTTACAAAACAACACATAACACCATGATACGTGGTCACCATGGAGGAAGTAATGAGGAAAATTGTTAACTTTTGGACAATGTGTTACTTGGTGAGATGGTCGGTTTGCTTTGTTTGCTTTGATGCATATCTTTTACTTCAAGGCAACATTTTAGCACATTTTATTACAAAGCCAGCGAATTTGTGTATGATCATAAATCTTATTATATTGATTTATTATTTAGTTATTCGTTCACGAGCTTTTACGCAATACAGTGTAGACAAATATATAATGTTAACCGCTTGTCCACTTTTTCGTGTTTTCCAAAGACAATAGGCTTGCATTTTTATGATTTACATGTTACTTTGGGAATAAAAGGCAAGAACATGCCAATCAAAATGAGGGTTCTATCGGGCAGAATGTTTACACTATTTCGCTATGAAAATGAACACAGGTTTCTTGTCACTACTAACAGGTAAAATGTCTGTCCGACCCTGTGTGTACATTGAATGACTCGTGCACAGAAGACAAAGCGTTTTAATGCGCTGCATTTGCACAGATCAATTATATCCTTTCGCTTCAAAAAAAGAAATATAGATTCCTAACTATTTATTTTCCTGGTATCAGATATACGCTGACTCACTCATATGAGGAAAAAGTTGCACTGCATGATATGTAAATCAAACCTACTATTCATCATGTGCATTTCATTCAAATCGTTGTAACATCATACCCTTCTTTTCCCCGTGTGACCGCCTCCTTGGTCCAGTGGACAGAGCTTCCGACCATACAACGCAAGGTCGGAAGGCAATGCGGGGCTGCTTATGGCTTTTGTTATGATTTACCCGCCTCCGCAGTTTATTTGGGAATAACTCATTTACCTCAAAGTCTATGACTATATCATATATAGGACATTCGGTTGACCTATGTCATGTTGAGGTCAAGGTCAAGGCCATTGATATGTCACTCATGTTTTAAAAACACTTACCAACTGTACAAGTAAACTGATAATTCAAATTGCACTGAACTAAACATGTTATCTCCACACTGAAGTCGCGAGCCCCATAATATTTATTTTGAAATTGGTCAAAAGGGATTTACGTTAATTTATTCACTATGAAGACTTTTTATATTGACATCACTTGAAAAGGAACATGATAAGAAAGACTCATACAATTGCAATTAACATGTGAATAAAATATTCAATCTGATATCATTTTCCTTATGACATGTTCGTTCTGCCCGACAACAGCACATGAGACGGAAATACGTATGAAAGTGCCCTACTTTATCATGAACACAAAGAGACGGAACACATTCACGCAGCCATACACACTCGCCCATGAGGAAATGAGTATATATTACTCCGGTGGTGTATGTTTATATTCAGGGAAGCAGGCGACACAGACAATACAGGCGTATGATTCACACTGATCGAGATGCTAGATTGACAGCACTCACACACCTGCACACTGAACGATAAAACTGTAACTGATGCATCAGATCGGGCTATAGTCCTGCGTGTATAAAGAGCTTTGATATAACTGAAATACTGTAGAGTTTTATAAAGCTGCACTACACCGAACAGACTCAATCGATAAGTCAGTGTTTGTTTGTTTTTGTTTAACGTCGCACTCAGTAATAGTCCAGCTATAAGACAGCAGTCTGTAAATGATCGCGTCTGGACCAGACAATCCAGTGATTGACATCATGAGCATCAATCCACGTAATTGGGATGCGATGACATGCATCAAGCAAGTCAGTGAGCCTGAAGAACCGATCCCGTTAGTCGCCTTTTACGGCAAGCATAGGTTGCTGAAGACCTATTCTACCCCAGATCTTCACGGGTCGATATGTCAGTGAGCCGTGTGAACTGAATTTCTTTGAAAGCACCAACTCGTTTTCTCACAATCCGGATACAAATGTTTTAGTTCACTGCAAAGTGCGTAAATTCGTGTGTGTGTTTTTTCAAAGGAAATATAGTGACAAGTGTTCCTGACTAGTTTGTTCTGTTATATTACACGTTTTCTGGCCTCACACTGAATGAAAAAAAAATTGGTGTATGATAGCCTTTTGAAAAGCTACAAATCAGACACACCTAACAGTGAGTGAGTGAGTGAATGTGGTTTTATGCCGCTTCTAGCAATATTCCAGCAATATCACGGCGGGGGACACCAGAAATGGACCTCACACATTGTACCCATAGTGGGAATCGAACTCGGATCTTCGGCGTGACGAGCGAACGCTTTGACCACTATGCTACCCGACCGCCCCCACACCTGACAGAGGCGGTTTGGGAAAAACAATCGTTTGAAGATGTCCAAGACGGAGTTTGAGGTGAAAAGGTAACATGATTACACACTGCCTATTTCGTTTTATTTATATTATTACAAATATTACATTGTGCTGTAATTAGATAAACAATAAGTGTATTCCAACCAATTTGTAATGAAAATATATTCCCATTCAAGGCACCCATATACATACATGAATAACGACATTGCATGTCTAACTGTACATAAGGAAGTTATGCATACACCATTAATAGCCCGTGATCCTGTGATATAAGCCTGGGTTATCAATATAACAGTGAGAGCGGCCATGTGAAGAAACCTGACATAAACATTACTCTCAAACTGTCTGTCGTGTTGCATTCTTGTTGAACAAGTATCCTTCAAAGAGAACCTGCCGGGTACCGCGGGCTGACGTAAAGTATTCTACAAGTCGCAGAGCCATGATTGTGAATGATGTAAAATTGTTGTTGCATTAAGTGTTCAAGAGGTCGCCTTCTGCCTAGGCAATTTCGGCTGACCTGTCCCTCTTTGGGACTCCTGTGTGTGAGTAGGGTACACATATCTATTGTGAGTTTGGTGTTCACATAATTTCTGTTTTTGTATTGATATGATTTCTATTGTCTTATATTGATATGATTTCATTTCTATCCTTGGCTGCTCTGTTTATATACGTTCGAGTAGCTGTCCATCTCTCAGAAATAGAGTTAGTTTGGCCTTCGCCATTGCATATCTTGGCTTTAGGAGATCTATGACATATAGCGGATGGCAGATGATGTAAAAGCAATTGATACATTATTATACATATGTGTGTGATCACAAAATACATCTCATCAGTTAAACAGTTTGTCATCTCAAACATCTCTAGTCTCCATTCATAGGATTCATGAATTATATTTTTTAACCCCAAAGGGCAAAGTATTTATTAAAACAACATATAAATTATTTGTGAGTAATCACACGATAACCAGTTCACAACAACTCACTCTTTATGAATTTAACATTGTTGTTGTAGTAACAAAGATCTTAACTCAGAGTGTTGGGTCATACCATTGCAGCTTAAGGTGAGTGCTTTAATTACCCCCTACTCAACTGTATGACGATTGGCAATAACAAGGTGTATGGCAAATGGCCTGTCTGTCTGATGGGAGGGAACCAACTGCTAACAATAATCACTTGCATCTGATTAAAGGGACACGAGCGCTGGACAATGGCAGACCAAGCAAGTTTGAGCCAAGAAGTTCAAAAACAAATTATTTATCTTTAAACTATATCATTAGAAGTAATTGCGACGACAGACCGCTGGGAGTGGCCCATTAAAATGAATGAAGTTCACCTCGTGTGGATGTCGTTGCTATGCTACGTTGTGAATGGGTATTGATTTACAGACAACACCTGTTCGTTGCGGCATACGTGTGTTGGGTATTACGTTTAATTCACGCACATAAAGTCCATTGTATCATACAGCGAGAATGTCACACTGACTGACTGACTGACTGACTGACACCCAGCCATCGAACTGTACAAAGGAAGACCATACGAACAGTAGCAGTCCTTTACATGCCTCATGTGTGATGAACGCTGGTTGCCTAGATATCGTTAATGAATTATTCATCAATTCATTTGTTGCTATGTTTACGTCTGGTTTCAGTGAAACTCACTCTTGGCGGTATAAACAGACCATGACGAAAATAAACCAGGTCATGCAAAAACACATCGACAGGTGCACATTGTTTGACGTCCTGATTCTTAACAAAACACGAACCAATTTTACCACAGCTTATAGTATACAGTGCGTTACGGAGGATCAATACAGAATTCATATATGAGCATAGATTTATATTCACGTGTTCATATAAATATCATATATTGATTGTGCTGCAATGTCACATTGCCCTTCGTGTATTATCGATGATGGTGGCAGTTGACAGCAGCTAAAGTCGATTGGACTGAATATATTCAGTGAATTATATTGATTCGTCTACAGTAGCACGGCGGTGCTATGGGTGGTGGCAGAGGCGTCTTGGGTGTTGGTGTGGTGCGAGAGGTGTCGGGTGTCTTTGGTGTGGTAGGAGAGGTAGTGGTGTTGTGAGGGGCGTCGGCGAGTGTGGTTTGGTGGGAAAGGCGTGTAGGGTAGTGGGTGGTGGGTGATGCATCTGCGGATGTGTGGTGGGAAGGTGTCTGAGGTAGTGATGTGGTGGGTAGGGGGTGTCTGGGGAGTGATGTGGAGGTAGAGGTGTCTGGGATAGAGGTGGAAGGGACGTCTAGGGATGTGGTGTGGTTGGAGGGGTGTCTGGAGTAGTGGTGTGGTGGAAGGGACGTCTAGGGATGTGGTGTGGTTGGAGGGGTGTCTGGGATAGTGGTGGAAAGGACGTCTAGGGATGTGGTGTGGATGGAGGAGTGTCTGGAGTAGTGGTGTGGTGGAAGCGGTGTATAGGGATGTGGTGTGGTTGGAGGAGTGTCTGGAGTAGTGGTGCTGTGGAAGCGGCGTCTAGGGATTTGGTGTGGTTGGAGGAGTGTCTGGAGTAGTGGTGTGGTGGAAGCGGCGTCTAGGGATGTGGTGTGGGTGGCGGGGTGTCTGGAGTAGTGGTGTGGTGGAAGCGGCGTCTAGGGATGTGGTGTGGTTGGAGGAGTGTCTGGAGTAGTGGTGTGGTGGAAGCGGCGTCTAGGGATGTTGTGTGGTTGGAGGGGTGTCTGGAGTAGTGGTGTGGTGGAAGGGACGCCTAGGGATGTGGTGTGGTTGGAGGAGTGTCTGGAATAGTGGTGTGGTGGAAGGGACGTCTAGGGATGTGGTGTGGTTGGAGGAGTGTCTGGAGTAGTGGTGTGGTGGAAGGGACGCCTAGGGATGTGGTGTGGTTGGAGGGGTGTCTGGAGTAGTGGTGTGGTGGAAGCGGCGTCTAGGGATGTGGTGTGGTTGGAGGGGTGTCTGGAGTAGTGGTGTGGTGGAAGGGACGCCTAGGGATGTGGTGTGGTTGGAGGGGTGTCTGGAGTAGTGGTGTGGTGGAAGGGACGCCTAGGGATGTGGTGTGGTTGGAGGAGTGTCTGGAGTAGTGCTGTGGTGGAAGGGACGTCTAGGGATGTGGTGTGGTTGGAGGAGTGTCTGGAGTAGTGGTGTGGTGGAAGGGACGCCTAGGGATGTGGTGTGGTTGGAGGGGTGTCTGGAGTAGTGGTGTGGTGGAAGCGGCGTCTAGGGATGTGGTGTGGTTGGAGGGGTGTCTGGAGTAGTGGTGTGGTGGAAGGGACGCCTAGGGATGTGGTGTGGTTGGAGGGGTGTCTGGAGTAGTGGTGTGGTGGAAGCGGCGTCTAGGGATGTGGTGTGGTTGGAGGGGTTTCTGGAGTAGTGGTGTGGTGGAAGCGGCATCTAGGGATGTGGTGTGGTTGGAGGGGTGTCTGGAGTAGTGGTGTGGTGGAAGCGGCGTCGAGGGATGTGGTGTGGTTGGAGGAGTGTCTGGAGTAGTGGTGTGGTGGAGGCGGTGTCTAGGGATGTGGTGTGGTTGGAGGGGTGTCTGGAGTAGTGGTGTGGTGGAAGCGGTGTATAGGGATGTGGTGTGGTTGGAGGAGTGTCTGGAGTAGTGGTGTGGTGGAAGCGGCGTCTAGGGATGTGGTGTGGTTGGAGGGGTGTCTGGAGTAGTGGTGTGCTGGAAGCGGCGTCTAGGGATGTCGTGTGGTTGGAGGGATGTCTGGAGTATTGGTGTGCTGGAAGCGGCGTCTAGGGATGTGGTGTGGCTGGAGGGGTGTCTGGAGTAGTGGTGTGGTGGAAGCG